AACATAAGGTTTGGAACAGAGATGTTCCAGTCTTGTGGTCTACCAGTGCATATATTTGTGTGTACGTGTGTTTAAAGTTTGGCCCGTAGGAGCGGAACTGCTGCATGTCTTTTTTGAAATTCCTCACTTCACTGTGCCAATGCTGGCCTCAATGCCCTCGTGTGGTAAAAGGGGCTGATGTAGGCACCTGGAGAGGAACCAAAGGTGTCCTTCCCCATCTGATTGTGTTGGCATCGATGCTGTGAGGAGGCTCCTGTGTGCAGTTGAACCCCAAAGCTAGAGCCCTCACTGCCTGGCATTAAAACTCCCCCAGGTATTTCAGTGTTGAGGTGCCAGGGACTGTCAGGCTGAGGTGACTGTACTCCCTGGGTTCAATTCAACTTCCTGTGGTTGTCCCCAGATGGCTTTTGCCTTGTCCCATCCCAACAGGATGCCTAGGATGCTGCTCTGGAGACAGGTGGTTTCGCTTGCCCTGCTTGCAAAAGCATGGTGTGCAGTGGGTGCTGAGGCTCCAAGTGCTCTCAGGACCTTCTTGGCTGTAGGGTGCAGGGCAGGCTTCAGCACAGTCGTTTACAGTCTTCATGATAAACCTACCCTTAGGCTAGAAGCAGTGAGGGAGCTTGGGTGCCAGCCCTGAGGCTGCAGGGCCTGGTAGGTTTGTGCTGCTGTTCCAGGGCCACCTGGTGGGACAGCCTATAGGCAGTGCAGCTGTCCCTGGAACCTTCCTGTGAGAGGACTACTGCATGTGCATGAAGCAGGTGTGGAGGGAAACAGCTCGAGATCAAGCAAGATCCCCAGGAGAGAAGCAAGGTAATGTGGAGAGGGAAGACCAAGAGGCTGGTGTACGTTTCCTTCTGATGCTCTCCTCACCCAGGTGCAGGGGAAAAAAAATCCAGGACTGGGTTTAGGCTGCCTTCATCTGAGTGAGCTGGAGGATTGTGCTAACTAGAGGTGCCTTAAGAACAGGTGATGGCAGGACTGTCCTGTCAGTGGGCAGCTAGGGTCCTATTATATACCATTTCTCTCACCTTTCTTGTCTGTTTGTCATGAAAAAGTCTGCCTTCTTATCTCCTCCCTGCCCACTTAGAAGTGTTTTCTCAGGAGCAGCTGGATTATTCTCATGCACGTGATTATTGACTCCTTCTAAGAACTACCAGATGCAGGATTTCAGCACAAGGGTTTTACTGACTCTTCACAAAGTACATAATACTTATAGGCGTGTCCATTAATATTATTTGTTTGTTATAATTTCTATTAACTTGGCCACTACTGATGTCAAATCTTTTGCTTACTGAATCTCTCTAGGCTTCTCCCCTCCTCCGTCTTTGGTATGTTCCTTGCCGTCTTGCAATTTCAGTAAGAAAAAGCAGTGTAAGGCAAGAGGCCACCTACTGCTGTTAACAACTGTTTCCTCCCTGAGTTTTTTGGGATTCCCTGGGACTATCTTGTCCAGACCTGCTAATTCCATACCTTTTGCACAATCACTTTTATTTTCCACAGGTCCTTTTGTTTAGTTCCCCCCAAAATAGGTACTTTTTGAGAATGTCTCTGGTTCCTTCCACTGTCACAACTAATTTATTAGCTTTGTTTCAATGTCCTTTTTCTCTCTGACTGCTTCTTTTATACTCTGCTCTTCAGTTGTCCTCAAAGCTTGTGAAAAGGTATTATCTATAGGAAAGATTTATTACTAGTTGTGGTGGCTTTTGCTACTTGTTTTTCAGACTCTTTTTAACCTTTCTTTATTGTGGTTTTATGTTTAATTTGGTAATGGTAATTTAAATTTTCTTCATTTGAATGCAAAGTCAGCTTGTTGAAGAATGCATACTGATAATCCCTTTGGCTTGACATGTTAGCCAAGTCAGCTTCCTTTTGCCTTTTGCCAGCTCTTCTAAAGAGGTGCTAGGTATTGGCTTTGGGCTGCCAACGTCATGTACCTGTGTAACCTCCATGCCACCTTTGATGATTGAATTTCCTCAGCTGTCCCTTTCCATTCTGATTGGCTTCTAAGAAGTGTCTCCCTTGCTTGCAGCTGCCATCACAAATATGCTCAACTCCAAAAAGGGACTTGTTTTGGAATGTGTGGGGTCATAACCTTAGGATTCAAGTCCTTCTCTGTCATTATGAATTTGATTTTAACTCAACTGGTTCAGTTTGGTTTTCAAAATAAGTAATAAGGCACGTGCAGTGGTGCTATCTTCTACTGTTATGTGGACCTGCTTGCCAAGTTGGGTCAAACTAGCTGTGAGTCAAAAGGCTTGCAGATACTCAAACTTCCTAGGAAGGAGCTGGGACTTGTAAGACGTGTGGGAGGTACGTGGCAGTGCTGAGTGGAGATGAGATGGAAGATGCCTGTGGGAAAACATGGGTGGTGTGGGAGGACAAGAGTATATTGAATGGGATGGGCAGAACACAGGTTTAGGGGGAAGGGAGGAACTGAAGAACAGCAGTGGAAACACAAGGATGAGTTTTGGGGTATTTTTAAGGAAGATTTTCTTTTTTTCTATTCTCAGCCCAACAACTAACTGCTGGGCCCAGTTTTCTCCATCTCCCACCCATTTACATGCCACCAGTGCATATGAAATTCAAAGCACAAAGAAGAATATCACCTCGCTATTACAGTACTGAATTACCAACAGTGTATCCTATGGAAGTACAGCTCAGGGTTGAATTTTGACAGCAAGCAACAACTCTCTTGGCTGAGAAGGAAGAATTGAGGTATGTCCTCATGTTTGGGGGCAACCTAGTTTATTCTAATAAAATCACAGCTAGATCCTAAATTGGCATTTTTAATTACCTCAGCTGTGTTTGGAAAAGCGTTTCAATAGCACAAAGCTGATGAAACTACACTGTGACTTCCTTTTCTGTCTGCTGATTGTATTTCCCATTTTTCTACGTTGGAAAGTCCGAAACCTTGCCAGGAAGTAAGTCTGTTCCCCATGAGACTGTGAGTCTGTTGTGGCTTGGTTGGTAGGGGGAAGCAAGTGGAAGATTACTCTGACTGAAATCTCAGCATGGAATATGAAAGCATAACTAGGTTTCAGTAAATAATTAAGGGTCAAGCCACAAGACAAAGAAAAGCCCTAGAAGGATGTTGGAAAGAAAAGCAGGCAGCATGCATGTTCTCAAGGGACCAGGCTTCTGTCCTGCAGTTACTCTTCTTGTACAAGTGTCACCCTCTTTGCACCCAACACAGAAAGGGAAGAGAAGCCAGCACAGTGCTTGTGAGAAACGAGGAGACTCCTTGGTAAAGAGACCCAGCTACTTGTGCCCTATTCTGTTTAGGTGCAATTCTCCACAATGTGTATTCATATGTCCACTCTATTCCCACCTTGCTTTTGTCTTTTCTGTTGTCTGATGTGTGTTCTTCCTTGCATCATCCAATCTCCCCTCCAGCCCTGCCCTATGTACCCTCCATGTTAGCTCCGTGGGTGTCCTCCTGTCATGTTATTCTGATCTACCTTGAGTAAATTGCAGCTCAACAAAATAAACAAACAAAGCTTTCTCCTTCCTCCATCTAGACCTTATTGTGGGTTTTTAATACTCAAAGGGGGCTTATAAGAAAGATGGAAAGAGACTTTTTACCAGCACCTGTGATGACAGGACAAGGGAAAAAAGAAAAGCAGCTAGATCTAGATTAGAAATAAATTCTTTACAACGAGGGTGATGAGACACTGGAACAGGTTGCCCAGAGGAGTTGTGGATGCCCTCCTCCCCTGGCCAAGAAGTGTTCAAGGCCAGGTTGGATGGAGCTTTGAGCAACCTGATCTTATGGGAGATGTCCCTGCCATGGCAGTGAGGTTGGACTAGATGATCTTTGAAGATCCCTTCCTATGCAAACCATTCTCTGGTTCTTCAGTTCTATCTGCTTCTCACCCTTTTTCTTCAGGACATCGTGACTCATAGGCATTTCTTCTCACAAGCCTTCCTGACTCAGCATGTATCTCAGTAGCCATTTCCTTTTATTGTGTCCTTTCAACATCTGCCTCAGCTTGAAATCACACTAAATAGTAATCTGACATTTTCCCCAAGTTAGTATCAGAATCCTTTACCAGAAAGCTGAAAAGAGAGACAAATTATAGTGTTGAGGCAAAAAGTAGAAAACAGCCCTTTAGTCTCAAAAATGGAGCCTCTGGCTCCCTGAAGCAAGCACTGCTCTGAACTTCCACACTCTGTAAATCAGGTTGTGATAGAGAGGTGTCTGTGTGTCTTCTTCCCAATAACCTCTCAAACCATCAACACAATGTTTTAATTCCACTTTGCTTGTTGTTTTCCCTGAACTTGGCTTCATCTTTCTCTGTTTCGCCATGGATATATAAAATTTTTTATTATTTCTGTTCCTCTGCCTAAGGCTGCAACTCCCCAGTCTCACTTTAATAGTTCCTTTTTTGAGATTTGTTTTTGTACTAGCTGCCAACTGGGACTGACTTCCCAAGATGAGACATAGCATGCAATAGTTGATGTAGCAAAGGCAACTCAACCACACAAGACAGGCGAGAGCAGAATGTATTTTGTATTGGGCTGTGCTGCAGGTTAAACTGATCCATGATAGCCCATGAAAACCTAAGTGCAATGGCAGGATTGCTAACAGACGAACATGAAGATAAGGGAAGGAGAGAGAGTAAAAACAGAAGGGTGACAAGGGAAAAAAAAAACACTTAAGAAATCTATCTGCTGAGAATCAAATGTGGGGAAGGAGCGCAACTTCCTTTTCAGTTGTTAGGTTCTCATTTTTCTTTTCTCTCTCAGAAGTTTCCATAGTGGCAGGGCTGATTTCTTGAGCTAAGAAACTGTTCAGAGCATTTCTGAGCTCCCAGGAATTCTCTGGTTATTGCCAATGCTTCCAGTGTTCAGCACAGCCTTCTTTGACAGACAGAGATTGATTAAGCAGGTGATAAAGGCTCAGTAACTTACTGGTGTCTTCCTCTGGAACCAGGAATCAAAAGGCTCACCTTTTACGTAGCAAAACTAAGGACAAGGGATCGTTATCACACTGTGATTAAATGGCATCAGAAATCACCTATGCTGAGGTGAAGTTCAAGAATGCATCACCAGCTGCAGTGGCTGAAGGTAAGGAATGGATGGGTTATTCAGGGGAAGGGAACCTGGAGGGAGGGAGGCTGAAGAACAGGGAATGGAGACTTTTCCGTCTGTGACTCTTGTTCCTACCTGGTGTTGAAAAATTGGTGAGGAAAACGAGTTGTCTACCACTATATGAGCAGGAGACTGGAGGGGTTTTGAAGTAAAGGAATGTCTACAGGAGGAGAGGTGGGAATCTTTAGGTAGCTGGAGTTGCAGCACGAATAAAGATGACTACTGGGAACATGAACAGTAGGTTTCAAGTGAACACTCAGTAACGAAGGTACCTGGGCTCCCTTAGTCTCCTGGCTGCAATACCAACAGTGGTGAATGGTAGATGATTCAGGATGAGTGCTTAACTCTGCAGTAGCTGCCTCTCTGTGTGTTACCTAGTCTTGGGTAAGAGTAATTTTTGGACAAATACTGAATATCAACAATAGAGACTATGGTTTATTCCAAACAATCTGATCTGTCACAAAGGTGGAGGGCAGCAAATGGCAGTAAATAAGCCCAAGTCCTGGTTGCTACTGCTCTTGCCTCTGAGAAAGTGAGGTTACAGATTCCTGCTTGTGGAGAGAGCAGGAGCAGAGAACTGATGTGCTTCCTTACAGTAGAGCAATCAGTTGCCCTCTGCAGTGTCCTGAGAAGTGGCACTAGCTGCAGAAACTTACAGCCCCATTGCCCTAAGTTGATTAAGAAATTGTCCTTGGAGAAGAGAGTCCAAAAAGTTAAAAAGACCAATCAGCTTGAATAAAACACCTTAAAATACACAGAGGAATTATCTAAGAATGGAGGAAGATCCAATTCTGTGATTGATGTCTAACACTCCTGAAAAACAATTAAGACACCAAACAAACAAATTTTTATTGCTGTTAAAAATCATGATTGTGAAATGGTGCTTTTACTAGACTTTTTCAAATTTAAGACGTTCTTATCTGTATGTATTCTGTAGTTACTGTGCCACAAGTAGGAACACACAGAGATGTTCCACAAGTGGCTCATTACTTCCACCCTTAGATACAGAACCCTCCACAACAGCAGGTTGTGTGCAAATGAAAGAACAAATGAATAAATAATTGTTACTGCTAAGGATAGTATCTTGCCTGTTTGCTGCTTTACCTCAGTTTTACAAACCCAAACTGAACTGGCCTCAGCTCCAGGTTTTTCCTTGCCTTCTCTGAGACATGAGTCATGGAAATAAAGAATGTGCATGCTCAAGACTGACTTGAAAGCTCACTGTTTTCCATGCACCCAAATTAGCTGTTTCTGGTTACAGCTAACATTTCCATCATGGGGTAGATGTGGTGGAAGTTCCCCACTGTATGCCCAGTGACTTGTTCCAAAGACACCTGATCCAGCCATGTTTGTTGGAGCTGCTAATTTGGGTGTGTGCTCAGGGTCTGTCTTTCAGTGCACCTGTTCAACTGATCACACACTTATACTTTGAATTCAGAGAATTGTCCAGTAATACCACTGGACACAGTGGTAATGTCTCTCAAGGTTTCATGGTATGAGAGTTATGATTGAAAATTATTGAAAGATTGAGGGAGTCTTGCTGCTGTGTTGTCTTTTTGAGTGGTTACTTCGGCCATGCAGGCTCCATGTTGGTAATGCCTAATCTCACCTGGATTTTCCCCCTTTGTAGCCTCTTGTAGTTGAGCTCTGGAGAAAATAAAAAAATTGCAGTCATTGGAAGACAGAGAGGAGAAGGCAGCAACTAATCAAGGAGCGTATGTAATCTGGAGGTGGCAGAGACTATGGGGGTGGGTTGCACACCACAGTGCAGTTAGGGTTCCTGCATTTCCAAGCAGGATTTCCCAGGTAGAAACACAAGCATCTGTACCACACAGCACCTGTGCCTAGCAGATGTTGGATTTACATACTGATTAACACACGTAGGCTCATCAGGTCTCTGTGTTGTGATCATGCTGGTGATGTTGCATGTATGCAGACTAACTCTAGGAAGTGTTTTGCAGGGAGGTAAACACAGTAAGTGTGCACAAAATCTACTGCACTTCAGTTGTGTTGGTGAGGTGCATGCAGCGTGGCAGGGCTCTTTGTGCCACCTGGGTACAGACCTGGTTGGGCATGCAGCACATCAAGAAATACTTTGTAGTGATCAGATCAATTGTCTGAAATAGGTGGCTGGATGCCAGGTCATGATCCAAGCCCTTGTGTTTGCTAGAAAAACATGATTTGGCCAGGGAAATCTGGATCTTGTCTGTCTCTGAATGTTTTCTTATAATAAAAGATTATGCTTTTTGCCCTTTTGTAACAACTTTCCTCAAATTTTTGGGAAGTAGTCAGGGGTTTCACAAGCAGCAGGTTTCTGGAAGCCTTGCTCACCAGGCAAGGGTGGCAGGCCCATGTGGCTGCTGGCAGAGCTGGAGCTTTGTGCTGAACAATGAATGAGATATCTCAAAAGCTTATCATGAATACCAGTCTCTATCAAGATTTCTTTGCTCCTGTCCTGTGGTGAGTGTTGCTGCCTCTGCACCTTCCAGTTTGCCCTGGCTTGTGTACTTGCCACAATCTAGAACAGCCTTCTATCAAGTGTTTTGTGCTTCCCAGTGGCTCGTTCTCCTGCCTGCTCCCAAACCTCCTCACCATTGACAGTATCTCATAGACAGATCTCAGGCCCTGGCAAGTGGGATGCTTTACCTAGGCTGCTGAACATAGCCCTGTGTTCTCCCCAGACATCCAACATACCACAGCCTAGTTTTACTGCAGCAAATCTCTGAACCCTGGCTTGGAATGCAAATATGAAAGGGAAGAAGATTTTTTTTTATTTTCCAGAGGTTCTGTGCCATCATCAACTTGCACATTTTTTATTTCCTGCCCTCATTCAGCTTACCCCTACCTTCTTCTACACAGAAAGTCCAAAAAGCTAAGAAAAAGTTTTCTTGGGAGAAGTCAGCAAGGCTTTATTATAGATTTTGAGGCTAAGTGAAGGCCTCACCCCCAAACACCAGCAACTGGCATTACTAACTCACCAGTGGAGCTGGGGCTGTGAACAGTGTTGCTGAACCTGACCTTCTCCAGAAACCACAGAGGTGCCCCTCTCCCAGATGGTGTAACTTCACCATCAGAAATGAAACTGCATTTTTTTTTAGCAGCTCTCCTTTGTGTATGTGGGCTGACTGAAGCACAGTTGACTGCATTGTTGTGTTTGGTGTGTTCCCTCACTTCTAGCACCTCCTGAGACGAAGAAGCATGAGCACCATCCCCAGAAATACCCACTCTGTCTCCCGTGGCTGATTTCACTGATGCTTCTCTTGGTGTGCATTGCCCTCATTATTGCTCTCCTTGGTGAGTATGTGCAGGCTGATTACAGGAGGGAGGTCTGGGAGAAGTGCTGGGAGAGAAGCAAAGAAATTGGAGCACAGAGATGAACATCTTCCAACCAGGAGGGAGATTTTACTCAGGAACTGTTTTGTCATGAGGAAGGATGCAGACACCAACACTGGGGTTTGGAAAACCTGAAACTGAAACTTCGAAAGTATGTTTAGGAGCAAAATCTTTCCTGATCACTTAAATATTGGGGATTTAATGGTACAGCTGCAACATGACACAAGCTCCTCTGTTGCAGGCCAGCCAAACCAGTTGTTTTGGCCAACTGGTATATAGATGCTAGGAATACCACAGCATTATACCAGATGGTTATTCTTTCATAGAATAATGGAAAAAGTTAAGTGGGAAGGGACTTTTGGAGGTCTCTAGTCTAATGCCCTACTTGAAGCATGGCCATCTTCAGAATTTCAGCATTGCTTGGGCTTTCTGTTAGGTTTCAGGCTTTTCTGCCCTGACTTTGTACATGTCTGCATACATCCCCCAAATCTTCCACTGTTTGCCCTGAGAGCTTCTTACCATTCCCAGATTGCACATCCACAACTTTCACAGCCTCTTTGGAACTGTGGAACATTTGTCTACCTGCAAACCACACAAGATGAACTTACATTTGGTAGAGAGGTAAAAAAATGTGGATATGGCAGCACAAGTATTTATTCAAGCAGCTGGACCTGCACTTGAGCTCTCTAAAGTGCTTTGACCCACTCCATGTCCTAATGGAAGAACCATCTTTTCAGAGTTAGGCCTGGCATGTCCAGAATTAGCTGCACAGTGTAAACTCTGACACCTTTTTAGCGTTAAGTGTTGTCTACTAAAATAACTCATAAGCTGTTGCAGTAAAGTGGTATTTTAAGCACATGGTCTCTGTGTTTGTGCCCGTGCGTGCACATCTGGGCAGAGATTGTGTTCTAGGAACATACCTGGTGTAGCCAGCTGGTCCCAGGTGAGGAACAGACCCACTGGGAAAGTAAAACCAGCCAGCTGGGGTCTATTCCTCCTCTAATCTGTGATCTGACTCGAGTTTTTCTAGCCCAGGTTGAACTTGGACCGCAACAGCTGCCTACTAGAATAACTCATAAAAAGTGATTCTTGCATTTGCAATTTTTGGAGATTGTGATCACTGTGTAATTCTCGTTTCTGCTAAGGATCGTTCATGGCATGTTTGCACAAATTGTCAATACAGGTGATGGATGCTGGAAGAAGGTATATTGTCAGGCTAAACTGCTGCCCTTAGAACCATAGAGCCGTTCAGGTTGGAAAAGACCCTTGGGATCACTGAGTCCAGCCATCATCTCTACTCTACAAAGTTCTCCCCTAAACCATCTCCAGCAATACCACATCCAAACCCTGTTGCAGCTTGAAGCCCTTTCCTCTTGTGCTGTCACTAATTACCTGTGAGAAGAGACCAGCACCAACCTCTCTACAATGACCTTTCAGGTAGTTGCAGAGACTGATGAGGTCTCCCCTCAGCCTCCTCTTCCTCAAACTAAACATTCCCAAGTCCTTCAAGTGTTCTTCATAACATTTACTCTCTAGGCCCTTCACCAGCTTCATTGCCCTCCTCTGTCCTCGCTCCAGCACCTTGTTATCTCTTGAATTGAGGTGCCCAAAACTGGACACAACACTCCAGGTGAGGCCTCACCAGTGCTGAGTACAGGGGGACAATCACCTCTCCTTCTGCTGGTCACACTATTTCTAACACAAGCCAAGATGCCACTGGCTTTCTTGGCCACCTGGGCACACTGCTGGCTCATGTTCAGCTGCTGTCAACCAGCACCCCCAGGTCCTTTTCTGCCAGACACTTTCCAGCCACTCCTCCCCAAGCCTAGAGCCTTGCCTGGGGTTGTTGTGGCCCAAGTGCAGGACCCAGCACCTGGCCTTGTTGAAGCCCAGACCATTAACATTAGCCCAACTATCCAATCTGTCCAAGTCTCTCTGCAGAGCCTCCCTGTCCTCAGGCAGATCACCACTCCTGCCTAATTTGTTGTCATCTGCAAAGTCACTGATAATTCACTCTATGTCCTTATCAAGATCATCAATAAAGATGTTAAACAGAAACAGTCCCAACACTGAGCCCTGAGAACACCACTTGTGACTGGCCCCAGCTGGATTTGACTCCATTGACCACCAGACTTTGGGCCCAGCTGTCCAGCCAGTGTTTGATCCAACAGATCTTATACTCATCCAGGCCATGAGCAGTCAGGTTTTTATGAGAGTTCTATGGGGAACAGTGTCAAATGCATTTTGGAGGTCCAGACAGACAATATCCACAGCCTTTTCCTCATCCAGTAGTTGGGTCATCATGTCATAGAAGGAGATCAGGTTCATCAGGCAGGACCTGCCTTTCATAAACCCATGCTGACTGGGCCTGATCCCTTGGTTATCCTCTATATGTATTCTAATGACACTCAAGGTGATCTGCTCCATGACCTTCCCTGGTACCAAGGTCAGACTGACAGGTCTATAGCTCCTCCGACCCTCCTTTCTGCTTTTCTCATAGATGGGTGTTACATTTGCCACCCTCCAGTCCATTGGGACCTCCCCAGTTAGCCAGGACTTCAGGTAAATAATGGAAAGTGGCCTGGTGATCATGTCTGCCAACTCTTTCAGCACCCTTGGATGTAACCCATCTGATCCCATAGACTTGTGTGTGTCTAAGTAGGTCTCTGACCCCTTCCTCTTTTACTGTGATGACCTCACTCTTCATCCCCTCCCTGTCTCCCAGCTCATGTGGCTGGGTATCCATGAACAGCTGGTTCCACTGCTGAAGACTGAGGCAAAGTAGGTGTTGAGCACCTCAACCTTTTCCTCATCCTTTGTTACTAAGATTCCCTCTGCATCCAATAAAGGATAGAGATTTCCCCTAATCCTCCTTTTGCTGTTAGTGAACTTCCAGAAACATTTTTTATTATCCCTAACAGCTGTAGCCAGTTGGAGCTCTAGCTCCAACTTTGGCTCTCCTAATTTTCACCCTGCATGGTTTCACAAACTTTTGCTATCATTACTTCCCAAGTCCCAGAAGAAGTATTGCTTTTCCCCAACTGAATAACTTCCCACACTACTTTCTTAAATGGTTGGGGAGGTTTAGGTTAGGCTGTTTAGAGTCTAATACTGTCTAGCTGGGTTCTTCTAGATATTCCAAACATGGAAAGTTCAATCTTTTATGGCAAATTTCCTCAGCCAAGCTAACTGATGTCACATAGGATTTTGATTTAGTGGCATGATGGGTAATGCATTTAAATAAAAGCACAAATACAAATTGCACTTTGCAGAGGGTAGCAATTGCAATGCACAGGTGAAGCTCAATACAAATGTGATTCTCAGTACTGGTCTCTGCAAAATGCTCAACATCAAGCCACTGTGTGTCCCTGGTGACCCAGAAGGAACATGTGGGTTAGAGCCAGCTCAGGCTCTTTGCTTTTTTTTTGCTTTTTAGTAACTGATTGTGAAGAGATTTGGCCAGGCAGCTTGGCTGTAGGTACCTAGATGGTAAATGCCCACCCAGTCTGGCACGTCCTCAGTGTGATGTCTTCCCAGTGGTCCTTCTGCTCTCTGACATGGAAGGTGGTCTCTTTCTGCCTGGGAAGTCAGCCCTACCACTTATTTGGGACAGTTTTCTCACAGCCTTGCACCAGGAATACACTAACTCCACACCTCCAGCTCCAGAGCACCTGTGGGGGCCTGATGTCAGTTGCTGGGTACAGGAACAGAACTCTTGACAAAGCTGGTGGCTTGGCTATGGCCACCAAACACTGCCTGGGTATTTCACAGGCTGCTCTGGCTTGGTTGGTGAGATCATCCTGGCCTTGTGAGATGGGAAGAGACAGCCTGAGAAGAGGCCATGCTGAGATGGTGTGTGGTGGGGAAATGGGGGAAAAGAGCAAAGCCCAAAGCTGGTTGTGTGAGGAGCCAGGAGGAAGGGGTAATCCTGATGCCTCTCCTCTCCTTTCCAGTTGCTCCCTTCTCCTGTGGCAGGGACCAACCCACAGCCCTGCAGCAGACATTCAAGGAGTGGCAGTGCAGCTCAGCAGGGCTGCAAGGCAAAGGTGAGTAGTTCTGGGAAGGGGGCAGGAGGTCTTGGGATAGGGGTGGGGACACTGAGTGCTGGGGGGCTGCTCTGGCAGCAAGTAGCAGTGGGAGCAGGCTCTGCAGGGGCAGACTCTGGAGGAGAGAGGTGGGGAGAAAAGGGTTTCCTGCTAGCAGCTCAAGGGGGAGGAGAGGGCCATGTTGGGGATCTCCTTGGAGGGCAGGGTGGCTGTGAACATTGGCAGAACAAAAGGGAGAGCACACAGTGGCACAGAGAAGGTAAACAGTGGAGCAACGATAGAGTGCAGTTCTAGTCAAGGAAAGAATATTCTCTGTTCCCTGGGGCTAAATGCCTAAAGGAGTCTGACTGTACCAGGAGAAGTCAATCCAGATCATCAAAATAACTTTGTCTGTGTCAAGTGAAGACCTGGGATCATGTTACAAGGACTTGTGTACACAGAGCTTCTCAGTCACACGTTAAGGCAATTGGAAGAAAGATCAGTACCCTCCTTGCTGTTTTCGAGCCTTTTCTGTCAGGAGAACTGATCTCAGGAGAACATGAGCATTGTCCCTCAGGACCAGGAATCATTGCAGCCACCATCTCTCGTTCTTAGCATTCATTTCTGTGGTTCCTCCCTGCACAGAGAGAGGCTGGATGTGCTGCCCGAATGGCTGGAAACTTTTCCAAAATAGCTGCTATTATCTGTCGGATGATAAAATGTCCTGGGCTGAGAGTGAGCAGAACTGCACTGGGATGGGCTCCCATCTGGTGGTGATCAACAGCAAAGCAGAGCAGGTAGGTTCAGGGCTGAGGGAGGGGCACAGCAGCCAGAGACACAGTGCCAGGCCATGGAGGGGACTCAGAGCCCCTCTTTGCTCCTGCAGGGGAGAGGGGTTGTCCTTTCTGCATCCCTTCAGCACCATCTCCCCTCTGGCACCAACCCCACCCCACAGGGACTCCTGCCACCTCCCCCTGCTCAGTTCTGCACCTCATGGATGTTTCACTCCAATTTCCAGGGGTTCCTCTTTAAGGAACTACACCGTTCCTCAAGAGGAGAGAATTACTACATCGGTCTGAGTGCACAGAAGGTGGGCCAGTGGCACTGGGTGGACCAGACTCCACTGAATGAGTCAGCAGCGTGAGTATCTCCAGAGGGAGAACATTTGGTGTGGCTCCTGGTAGATCAAGAGAGTCTGTGAGGCTCTGTTGGTGCATGAGAGGGAGGTGAGACACCTCCTTGCGAGAGGCCAATGATGGAATAGGAGAGGACTGTGTAGGACACCAGTTTCATACACAGCCCTATCCCTACTGGTTATCAGTTATTAATTCACTATCTGTGATGATCTGTGCCCACCATCAATGTGGTGGGTACAAAAGCAGCTGCCTCTCACCAGCAGGAAGAACCCCTCAGGGATGACCAGCCTTGCCTGGCCAGTTTAGTGCCCCCATCAGGGCTATATGCAGGGACATGCACGGGCAGGGCAAGTCCTGTGATGCTGTGACAGAGACAGGACACAGGGAGAGTATCACAGTCATCCAGGTGGGTTTTGAATGTCTCCAGTGAGGGAGACTCCACAACCTCCCTGGGCAGTCTGTTCCAGTGCTCTGTCACTCTTACAGTAAAAAAATTTTTTCGGATATTCACCTTGAACCTCCTATGCTCCAATTTACACCCATTACCCCTTGTCCTATCACTGGTCATCACTGAGAAAAGCCTAACTCCATCTCCCTGACACTCACCCCTTACATATTTGTAAACATTGATGAGGTCACCCCTCAGTCTCCTTTTCTCCAAGCTAAAGAGACCCAGCTCCCTCAGCCTTTCCTCATAAGGGAGATGTTCCACTCCCTTCATCATCTTCGTAGCTCTGCGCTGGACTCTTTCGAGCAGTTCCCTGTCCTTTTTGAACTGAGGGGCCCAGAACTGGACACAATACTCCAGATGTGGCCTCACCAATGCAGAATAGAGGGGGAGGAGAACCTCTCTTGACCTACTAACCACACCCTTTCTAATGCACCCCAGGATGCCATTGGCCTTCTTGGCCACAAGGGCACATTGCTGGCTCATGGTCATCCTCCTGTCCACCAGGATCCCCAGGTCCCTTTCTCCTACACTACTCTCCAGCAGGTCAGCCCCCAACCTGTACTGGTACCTGGGGTTGTTCTTCCCCAGATGCAAAACTCTGCACCAGGTACCGGGTTACCAGGGCTGTCCTTGCTGCATCCTCTTCTGGAGGGCACATTTGCCCAGGAGGCAGACACATGCCTGCTCTGGGTGTGAAGTGCATGGGGTGAGCAGTGGTGAACAGTTCTTCCCAACAGGAGTGCCCAGGGCCCTGTTGTGTTGGCTGTAGGAAAAAGGCAGGCTTCCCCCTAAGGCTGTTGCCAGTGGGATAGCAGAGCGGGAGGAAGGGTGTCATGGAGGAAATTGTCCCTCTCCTCTCCAAACCTTGCATCCTGCTGCAGCCTTTTCCAGCTGAGGAGTAACATGTCTGTCAACGTGTCTGCCCCAGGTTCTGGCGGGCACGTGAACCAAGTAATGTGGATGATGAGAAGTGTGTTGTAATCCACACAAGCACAGGTCAGCCCAACAACTGGAACGATGTCAGATGCGGAAACCAGCATCGAGTCTGTGAAGCTGCAGCAGTAACTGTGTGATGGAGACACCCCCCACTCTGAGTAAAACTCAGAGATGACCAGGGAGCTGGGAAAAGCACAGGGCTGTGTTGGGAGGGATGGGAGTGGCACATCTTCACTGTGCTGGTTGGGACAATGTGAGTGGAAGTGGTATTATTACCCTGTGCCCAGCATCCCCAGTGCACATACCAGCTCTGCCAATGCATGAAGCCTCAGGGTCATCAAAACAGATCCTGGGCTCTTGTGTCCTTCTTTCTCTGAGTGGGTCCATCAGCTACTGGCTGAAAAGAAGCTGAGTTCTCCGGAAAGAAGGCAGAGGAAGGGAATACAGATGCTCAGACCTTCAATCTCCTTTGTCTTCTTGGGCAGAGGTGTCTGCTTTTTTGTTGAGGCACACAGAGAATGTCCTCTCCTTGTACTGGTTTTGCTGGGCAAATACTGAATTCTTATGCAAGGGAAAATAAAATATTAAGCCAATGAAAAAGTCTCTGTGCTGTGTGTGTCTCTTTCCCTCTCTAAGTGGCAGTTGTTTTGTATAGACAGGATCAAAATATGTTGCTGTGCCAGGACAGAACCTTACACAACTCCATACATTCTCCATCCTGCCTCAGGTGGCTAGTTGCTTCTAAAACCAGAAACTTGGAGTGTTTTACCGTGTTTCCAACTCTGAAATACAAGCTGCAACTCATTTATTGTGCGGTATCATTTTGCAGAAAAGCTGATAAGGTTTTCTCTTCCAGCTTCTGTCTTTCAGCTTCTCAGATCCTGAGCACCTCCAAGGGAAGTTGCATTCTATGTCTTCTCCTGCAAACTTGAGTCCTGCAAGACACCCTGTAACTGCAATGTTTTCCTTAGTTCATATTTCATTGATCTTGTCTGTGTCCATATCATGCTTGTCTATACTGAAAGGATCTGTGAAAGCAGATTCATGGTTCCTCAGTGCCTCTTCTAGGAGTGCACATTTTATAACCAAGTACTACTGTCTTTAGTGGTTCAGGGGCAGGAGTCTGTCAATTCTGCTCTGCCAGATGCCCCCCTGTTTTCCCAGCACACTGATCTGACACATATATTTGTGAAGTGAAATAGCCAAGGCTGACTCATGAAGCAGCTGAGAATCTTTGGTTACAGAACTATAGAAAGAGGTACAGGAAGGCTGAGGTCATTAATACATGCTTTCCCCAAGCATGCTGCAGGTGTTTATGGATCAGGAAAGAGAAATAATTCCTTCCATTTTGGAAATAAATTATATTTGCAATAGTTCCAGAGCCTTGCACTGATGAAGTAATCTCTGTGTTACTGGTCCCAGCCACCTGGCACCAGTATGAGTTTCTGTGCAGACCAGTGCAGAGTTTGCCTACTGTCACCACTTTGAGACCCTTTACCCCAGAGTGGGACAGAGCTGTTAGTCACCTAAACATTGTGAGGTCAGCTGTTGATTTGCTGGGAATTGTAGCCTGGTTTGTGATGCTGAACAGAAAGTAATTTGCTTGTGTCTCTGCTTTAGACCTTGTGCACACAGGCTAATTAATTCACATGAGGGTGCCTGCACACTTGGTCAAATAACGTGAATAGCAACTGCTGATAAAAGAGGGATGTGGATCTAAACAACTGTATGAATTGAATACCTGAAACTATCTGACAGGGCATTTGCTCCAAACCCACTATTGTTAAAGAAAAGCATGACCACCCTCTGGAGGATAACAAGGAAATTAACAAAAGGCTTTTGAGACAGAGGAGAGTCAGTCTGGAAACAAAGTTTAGGAGAAGCAAGAACATTTTCATCAGAGAGGAGATAAATGGGAGGGCAGTGGCAGCTGAAACCTGGTTTGACCTTTGCCCTGCGACTTTGCAACTTCTGTCTGTAACATCCCTGCTGGATGCTGTGGGCAGCTTGCATGGCTGGCAGTAAGTGATGCAACACGTAGAGACCCACAGCTTCAGCATGTGTATGTGACACTGTGCCCTCTCACTGACCTGTGGCAGGTCAGCAAACTGTAGGAAGTGGAGCAGATATACAGGAACCTACATCTCCAGCAGGAAGTGCGTGAGAATAGGGGAACCCCGGTTCCCAGAAAAGGGGGTGTGCTCTTGCAGCCTGCCCTTCCTGTGGCAGGGGTGGAAGATGGGAGGTGGTACAAGTAACCACGTTATAAATAGATATAAAGATGTGTGTATGTGAGAGTTAGAAATTTTGGAGATTAGTTACATAAAGATGTTTAGAAATGTGTAGGTGTTTATTAATATATTTGTCTGGTGTTGTGTTACAGTGTTGGATTGCTGATGCTGACCCTGAATGGTTTGTCAGTAAAGAATATTCTTTACATGTAAAGAATAAATCTGCAAACTGCTTAGATCTAAACCACATGAACTGAGCACATTTTCTTCCCAACAGTTTTGCAACCTCTGTGTTCTCCATATTCATCAGCTGAGTCAGCCCCCTGCCTGTATGTGCAAGAGCAAGTACATTTTTGAGCAACAGCAAATACAATGCATTCACATTTTTCTGCATCTGTGGTGCAATTCAGTGCTGTTCTCCAGCATAATGGCTGGGAACTTTTAAAAATGTCCATTGAAATCTCTCACTGTGCTGTGAATCCAGAAGCTAGTGCCTTCTGGTAGCTCATGCCTTCTACAATACCAGCAAGCACATCCAACATGAGCTGTTGGATGGTTCAACCCTACCTGCAGCCTGTCGTGCATGAAAAAAACATGCTCAGAGGATATTTTCTACACTCAATTTAGTCTTGTCTTCATTTGTAACCTGCTCTGTGTCCTGCACTTGGTAAGTTTTCAACTAATGTGCTTGTCCTGTTCTGTTAGATACCCCATTCCTTCCTCAGTGCATCTGTGCATGTCTTTTCACAGGGGGAAAATAGCTGATGAAATATAGAAGAGCAAAGGCCACCCACCCACTCCAAACCATTCAGAGTACAATGAGACCCAGTATATTATGTATCCTTAGGGGTATCCTTAGGGATATCCTTAAGGACATTTTATCCTAAAGGATTTTTAATTAAGTCACATGGAGCAGTGCTAGAAGAACCACCCATGGCTCTGCCTTTTGTAGTCACAGGCAAGTAAAACTTCATGATCTGTGATGCACAGGGAGCTGTCCCTTCTGACCTCCAGCTCCATAACTACAGATCCCATGCAATCCCTTCCCTCAAAGCTCCATCCTCTTTTCCTGAGCAATTAGTTAAAAACAGCATTGGCAAGTTCTTTGTTGTGCTCTGGGTTGCTGTGATGGGTCCACTTGACCCCTTAAGCCAAACTAACAGTAATTTAGTACCAGTTCCAAAGGAGATAAAAGGCCTGAGACGTAGCTGGGCCATGAGCTCCTCTAGCTGCACTCTGTTCTCTGATGCCCACAAAGAAGCAGTGCCACAGGGAACATCGATGCATATGAGATTGAAACACCAATCATATGATTTACATATGAATAGTGGGTGCCTTTGCCAAGACTAATTTATCACAGAATCACAGGATGTCCCTGGCTGCAAGAGACATCCAAGATCATCCAGCCCAGCCTTAGACCTAACATGGCAAGCTCATCACTAAACTATGTCCCTAAGCACCAGGTCCACTTGCCTTTTCAATGCCTCCAGAGATGGTGACTCCACCACCACCCTGGGCTAACTATTCCAATGCCTGACAACCCTTTCAGTGAAGAAATGCTTCTTAATATCCAACCTAAACCTCCCCTGCTGCAGCTTGCATCCATTCCCTCCGGTCCTATCACACATCCCCAGGGAGAAGAGGCTGTCCCCCTCGTCACTCCAACCTCCTCTCAGGTAGCTGCAAAGAGCAGTGAGTCTCCCCTCAGCCTTCTGCAGACTGAACAACCCCAGCTCCCTCAGCTGCTCCTCACAGGGCTTGTGCTCTAGGCCCTTCACAAACCTCATTGCCCTTTTTTAGACATGCTCCAGCACTTCTAGGTCCTTCTGATAGTGAGGAGCCCAGAACTGAACACAGCATTCAAGGAGTGGCCTCACAGGAGCACAATCACTTCCCTACTCCTGCTGACCACACTATTCTTCAAACAAGCCAGGATGCCATTGCCCTTCTTGGCCACCTGCACACACTGCTGGCTCATATCTAGTTGGCTGTCAATCATCACCCCCAGGTCCTTTTCCAGCCTTCAGCTTTCCAGCAACACATGACCACGTGTGCAGCTAACCATGGGGTTGTTATGACCCAAGTGCAGGACCCAGCACTTGGCCTTGTTGAACCCCACACAAGTAACCTTGGCCCACTGATCTAACCTGTCTAGGTCCTGCTGTAGAGCTTCCCTACCCTCCAGCAGATCAGCACACCCACCTAGACACCCACCCAGCTTGGTGTCATCTGCAAACTTACTGGGGGTGCACTCAATCCCCTCATCCAGATCATTGATAAAGATATGAAAGAGAACAGGCCCCAGTACTGAGCCTTGGGGAACACCACTTGTCACAGATACCAGCCAGATGTAGCTCCATTAACTACCACTCTTTGGGCTCCACCATCCAGCCAGTTTTTTATCCAGGGCACAGGGCATTTATCTGAGCCCAGTGCCACAAGTTTCTGAAGGAGACTGCTATGGAGACAGTGCCAAAGGCTTTATTGAAGTCCAGATAGACAGTGTTCACAACTCTTCCCTCATCCACCCGGTGGGTCATGTTGCTGTAGAAGATCAGGTTAGGCAGGACCTGCCTTTCATAAACCCATGCTGACTGGGCCTGATCATCTGGCTGTCTTGTGTGTGCTGAGTGATGATCAAGGAAAAAGGGAAATTGTGGCTACAAGGAGTTTCTTGGATACCTTTCCCATGGTGTATCATTTGACTATGAGCCAATCACTTTATTCCATAAATATGACAGCCTAAATGAACCTTCTTTGAGCAATCCCTGCCAGGCAGCCTGGCTACATGGTGGTAATCTCCCCTGAAGCTGGAACACCTCCCTAGGTTGCTACTCAAGGCACAGAGACTTTATACCAATGGCAGATCTTTGGTAAGTGGCTGATACCATGATGAACTAATACTA